CACACACACACACACACACACACACACACACACGCACTTGCGCCGAAGTTGTGCAGGGTCCCCGCCCGCGCAACTTCGGCGAAAGAAAGTGAGTGTGTGTGCGTGTGTATGGTGGGGGATGGGTCGCCCCCCCAACCCCCACTCAATCACACACACACACACACACGCACACACACACTCGCACACACGCTCACTTGTGCCGAAGTTGCGCGTGGTCCACCTGCGCAACTTCGGTGAGAGAAAGTGAGTGTGTGTGTGTGTGTGTGTCAATCAATCAATCAATCAATCAAAAATAAAAAATAAAAAAAATCATCTGTTTTGACTCTGGTTTTGTTTTTGATTTTTTAAAATAATTTGAATGCTCAAAAAATAAAAATAAAAATATGGGGATGTAGAGAGCAAAAAAATCTACACCCCCATATTTTTTTATTTTTATTTTCACCTATGGTTTGCCTGCAAAACAAAAATCCGCGGGCCGAGTTGTACCACGTTCAACTCGGTTTAACGCGGAGTTGCAACAGGAGTTGAATGGGAGTTGAACCGTTCAACTCAAAACCCCCGTTGAATCCGATTTCGGACACATAGCCAGAGAGTTCAACTGGTATCGAACAAGGTTCAAAGAGTGCTTCCATTCTGAATCCATTCATCTGGGTGGAACTGGGGCTGTTGTGGGGAAAATCTAACACACACACACACACACACACACACACACACGAAACAGTCTGTTCGGTACAGTCGCGCTTTTTTTGGGGGGTGTATAGCGAGTATGACAACACACACACACACACACACACACACACACACACACACACACACACACACACACACACAAACACACACACACACACACACACACAGAACGAACAAGTCTTGCAGAGCCATGTGTTTTCCTGTGGAGGTGTGTAAAGCGTCGATGATAGCAAACATGACAGCACACACAGGGGGTGCCCCTGGCATGTAGCACATGTTCCAATCGAACACTTTTAACACTAGTATATACTAGAATTGGTTCTAGCAACATATGGACGTATGGACAAAGTAATATCCTATTCGCCTTCGCCTTGCAACTTCACCTTAGAATTATTCCGTGGAAAAACAAAGAAGTCTTGTATACTAGATGATGCATGTGTGCCGACATGCCCACTCCTCTGTTGCTCACAAGCTTTAAAGTTTAAACAGCCAACGATCTATATCTTCCTCTATTGGCCATCACACTGTAGGAAGAAATGTATGGAAAGTGTAGATGAGTCCGTCCATATGGTTATTTTCTCCTGTACTAGCGCAATATGCGTATTTACTGTGGCTTCTTGTTTTGACCAGGAATGTGACAGTCAAACGGCATGGTAATGTGGAAAGCGGCCACATGTTCCGTCAGTTTGGATTGCGTATTGAAGGGGGGAACAACAATGACTGTCTTGTTTTTACGGCAAATAGATGGAAATCTCTCCCCTAAAGCATTAGATGATTGGTTTGACATATCACCAGACCAATGTGTGGGGACCACAATTTTCGGCGCTTCCAGATCCTAATGCTCCAGTGATCCTTGTTGTTTCACTCGATCCATCCGAAGTGTACTTCCGTGCAAATACTCTGGAAATTTTACCTGTGCTCACAAGTTGTGTCGCCATGCGATCAGGGAAAAGGGAATCGCAGCAGTATGCTTGAGGAATACTTAGGTTTTGGAGCCGATTTCCAGCAGGCGAAGCTCCTCACCAATGGACACGAGCCATACACCTGTGATCCTCGATCCAGATGGTTCTCCTGCCGCCACTGCACCGCAGGTCATGACAGGAACGAGTATTTATGGCGCAGGGCGTGTTCATGGGTGTGCAGGCCCGTGAGCAGCAGCATACATACCTCGTGGAAGACGAGGTAGACGACAGTATGAGGTGGAAGAATGCAAAGAAGAAAAGGGTAAAGAAGAAGAAGAAGAATCTGAGATGGAAGAAAGGGGAAAAAGTCACTATTGCTATGGCTCGGGCTCAACGGGGAGGTAAGAGGAGGAGGAGGAGACGAAGAGGAAGAAGAGGAGGAGGAGGAGGAGGAGGAGAAGAAACCGAGATGAAAAAAAAAAAAAAAATCGCTACAGCTATGGCTCGGGCTCAACGGGGAGGTAGGAGGAGGAGGAGGAGGAGAAGAAGAAGAAGATGAGGAGGAGGAGGAGGAGAAGAAGAAGATGACGAAGAAGAAGAAGAAGAGGAGGAAGAGGAGGAGGAGGAGGAGGAGAAGAAGACGAAGATGAGGAGGGAAAAAG